ACAAAGAAGGAGGCTACAATGCTTGATAAGAAATGTACTCATTATCTTGCCCATGTAATTGTAACCCCTCTGTATGGTATTTTCACAATAAAAAATAGAGAAGAATTTCTTCATAGAGGAAGCAAATTATACTGGCTCAGCTTTCAGGAAAGGGACTAGACTCTTTTGTAGAACAAAAACTGACATGAAGAGAGATGTAAGCATTGGTTGGTGCTGATCTTTGTGGGGGTTTTTGTTTGTTTGTTTGGTTGGTTTGGGATTTTTTTTGTTTTTCTTTTTACCCTTCCTGGGGCTTGAACTCAGGATCTGGACACTGTCCCTGAGCTTCTTTTGTTCAAGGCTAGAGCTCTACTACTTGAGTCACAGTGCCACTTCCAGCTTTTTCTGAGTAATTTATTGAAGATAAGAGTCTCATGGACTTTTTCTGCCTAGGCTGAGTTTGAACTGTGATCCTCAGATCTCAGCCTCCTGAGTCACTAGTATTCACAGACGTCACCCACCAGCACTCAGCTGGTGCTGATCTTTGTAACAATGCCTTAAAAACACATTTTCCATCAAAATAACATTATTAGTCTAGTTATAAGTGAATAGTACATGAAATTTGATTGCAAGCAGAGCTTGAGAAACAAGTTACAGAAAAATCTAGTATTGACTTGTGAAAATCATAGATATGGTGATGAGTGTTGTATCCACTTAAGTATAAAGACAAGGTTAAACCATAGGTCACCGCTAACAATTAGATTGTAATGGGGAATTCATTTTGGGGGTGAGAAAGGTTTTATATTTCAGAGTTTATCCCCAGAATTTACAAACATAGACACCAAAAGGATTTCCACGTGATGCAAATCTTGAGACTAAGTCAATAAATGCCAGAGATAACCAACATATTTCATGAATATTTTAATTATGATTTAGTATGTTTTGTTGTTCTCTGGTCACTCCATGTGGCTTCAACTAAAATGAAAGAGACAGGTGTTATATTTCTATTTTCTTTACATGCTGATGTAAATAAAATAGTATTATTCTGTTACTTTTTCCCTCTAATGTCCCTCACATTAATAGAATGTGTATATGTCAGATGTATGCTTCACAAAAAAAAATTGGATACATTTGAATTTCAGTTTGCATCTCAGTTTATACTGTGCTCTGAATGAAGAAAAGGAAGCAGAAAGTAGGCATGTGATTCAAAACCCTTTCCCAATCATCTGCCTCCTTCCAAGACACAGTGTTCTGAAACTATTATCTTTATGTGGAAATAGTGGGAAATATCTCTGAAACTGACAACCAGTGAGTCAATGAAGAATAACAAAGGACTTCGTGGTAAGTAGGGGTTATGTAGAAGGTGGCCTTTGGTCTTAATGTTGTAAAGCATTTAATAAGATTTGCTAACCAACTGGCAGTCTTCCCACTGAAAGTTTTAGCAACATGACGCTATGTTTAAGAGGTATCATGTCTCCTATGAAATAAAAGTATATTTCAAAGATCTGACAAGGTATTGAGGCTGTTTGACTGGACACTTGTTTTTATGTTGAATAACCTTATGAGTGCTATGTAGTTGTGCTTTCTGTCTTTTACTGTTTCAAACTTTAGACCCTTCTTGGGGCCAAAAAAATACTTAAATTATGTTTTTCTTTCCCTGGTGAAGAATAGAAATACTATACAGTGATTAAAGTATCCAAAAGGAAAAAGCTCTTAGGGACTTCTTTGTTCTCAGCTCTTTAGGTAGGTGGCACATATCTTCTTGAGGTTACATCAGATAACCTGAGAAAGGATGACAAATTATAGTTAGAAACTGAGGTCTCCACACTTCAGATTTCCTATTTGCCTTCCAGACCTTAAGCATACATGGAAAAGTTTGATTCTTTAAATTGGATAATATCTTTATGATTTTTATAAAGATAAAGGAAGAAAGATGAAAAAGAAAAAGCTAAAAACACAAACATAAAAAGAAGGTAGACTGGGTGCTGGGGGCTCACATCTATAATCCTAGCTAATCAGCAGGCTGAGTTGTGAAGATCATGATTTGAAGCCAGCCGGAACAGGAGAGTCTGTGAGACTATTTTCTGTAACTGACCACCAAAAACCCAGAAGTGAAGCTATGGCTAAAGTGGTAGAGTTCTAGCCTTGAGCAAAAAACCTCAGGTACAGCACCCAGGCCCTGAATTCAAGCTCCAAGATGTGCCCATGCACACATGGGTGCATGCGCACACACGCGCGCACACACACACACACACACACACAGAGTAAACAGCATTTGAGCAATTTGACACTTTTGTGGTTATTATTTCCACTGTAGTATAATGACTACTGAGACAATCTAACACCTTACACCAATGCCTGAAAAACATAATTTTCTGAACTTGCTTCTATCCAAAATTTTGACCTTACTCCTAAATGTGAATAGAAGGGTGGAACTTGGATGGAAAATGGATGGAAACTGCAGAGGTAAGAAAAATAATAGTATTCTGAGAGAGATAAATATTTCAGTTAAAGACTTTCCAAGGGGGGCTGGGAAGGTGGCTCAGTGGTAGAGCGCTTGCCTTGCATGCATGAGGCTCTGGGTTCAATTCCTCAGCACCACATAAGCAGAAAAAAAAGCCGGAAGTGGTGCTGTGGCTCAAGTGGTAGAGCGCTAGCCTTGAGCTGAAGTGCTGAGGGACAGTGCCCAGGCCCAGAGTTCAAGCCCCATGACCAGCCCCCCCTCCCCCGCAAAAAAAAAAAAAAAATTTCCAAGGGCTGGATGTAACCATCTTGGTCCATAGGCCCAGCTATTTGGGAGGCAGGAGGTAGAGGATCTCAGATGGAGACCAGCATGGACAAAATTAGTTCAAGTTCCTCTCTGCAAAAAAAATGCTGAAAGCAAAAGTGCTGGACATGTGGCTCAAATGGTAGGGCACTAGCCTCAAGAATTCAGCCTGTAGTTCAATTTCCAGAACAATCCACTGAAGCAACATTTGAGACCTCAGAGTTGAGCTACAAGTGACTGTCACACCCTCCAGAGTCCTCATGTTCAATGCATGTAACTGCCTATTAATTATAGATGCTGTTTAAAGGGGCAGTAGCTCTAGGGATAGGGAAACATATGAGCGATACAGATAAAAGCAGGAATTCTGTAAGAGGCAAATGCAAGTGTAGCTAGTGTCTCATTCATTACTTAGACACTTAGACTCTAGATAAGAAAATAGCTTTTGGGGCTGGGAAGGTGGCTCAGTGGTAGAATGCTTGCCTTGCGTGCATGAAGCCCTGGGTTTGATTCCTCAGCACCACATAAGCAAAAATAAAAAAAGCCGTAAGTGACACTGTGGCTCAAGTGGTAGAGTGCTAGGCTTGAGATGAAGAGCTGAGGGACAGGGCCCAGCTCCAGGGTTCAGGCCCCATGACCGGACGCCCTCCAAAAATAAAAATAATTTTTTGAAAAAGAAAATAGCTTTCATATATTTGATCCTTTTTGATAGAGGTCTAGTAGAGCACAGCACTACTTGATAAATCTGATAGCTCTGAGTACAGGTCTTCAGTGACCATCTCTTCCATTTTCTCAAGCTATTGAAAATTTACAAAGAAGGATTTGGGGAAATACTTGATGTTTATTTCTCATGGCCTTTCAATTTCCTAATGACATTTGTACAAATCTCAGTTGGTCTAGAGGTCTATTCTTTGAGGAAAATGTGTTACCTTGCCAGGAAGTGTAAAAATTATCTCTATCACCTCCTACCCAAAGTTAAAGTTTTCTTTAGAAATATAAAACTTTTCTTCTATGCTGAAATTTAGTCCTTATGCTTATGATATCATTTAGAGGGACACAAATGCAATAATGTACTCCTTATATACAATGTGTGTGAATGTAGTAAATGACCATTCTATTTCCAAAACTCTCCAGTTTTAGTCACAAATTTCCAGCTGCCACCAACCTGCATTATGTTATGTGACCTCTAGAATTCTCAGTGCCCAAGTCATCTTTTGGATATGCTCAAAATAATTCAAGTTTTCCTAATATAGTACTGCCAACCTTGAATATTATTTTACTCCAGCATTTTATAATATTGGATAAGTATGTATATCCAGATGATTTTCACATGAGTTCCTAAGTGGAAAAGGAGGCCAATATTGTAATGTTATTCTCCAAACATGAGTTCTATTGTCTCTCGCTACCTCATAAAACCACATGACCTGTCACCGTTCTCCATTGAATGCATTTATTACCTACTAAAGACCAATGCTCAGTGCAATTTAACTTGCTTTTACTATATAATTTGAGGTACATAATTGACATATAACTCATTTGAAGGAAAATGCCTTGAGGTCCTCTATTATGGACATCTACACTTAGAATGTCAATACCAATACTGATTGAAAATAAACTGTCCACTTTCAATAAAAAATAAAGCCCAAATTTATGAATTTTCTTGATGGGCTCCATCTTTTCCTTTTTTTCTGGGAGAAGGTACCTGATATATGCATATGCAATATTGGATATTTATGGGAGTTGGGCGTGAAGCTAATTTGCAAAATGACAATTCATTCCAGAAGCAACACCTTTAGGTTTGTAAAAGTTACTCTGTAATTTTTTAAGACAGTGACAATCTTTAGCAATCGGGGTGGAGAAAATTTGAAATATATAACACGAGAGTGCTCCAGTCAGTTTATTCAGAAGGAAGTGACTGAAGAGTTACACCGAAATTCACCCCGGGTGAAGTACAAACCAACTGGACGAACCATGGACCTGCTCCTTTTCCTTCCCTTCTTGTGTCTGGCCATATTTTCAGGTAAGAGCATCACAGCTGATGACTTTGTTTTCATATTTCTAAGTAAAGAATGAAAAAGGTTGAGTGGTTGAAGCACTAAGAGCTAAAAATAAGAACTCTCCACCAGACAGAGATAGTAATATAGGAAAATAAATGGGGACCTGATGCAACAAGAGTATATGACTTGATGCTGTCAAAGAGAAGGAAATGAAAATGGAGGAGAAAGGCAAGGCATTTGACTACAAAGGATGTGTTCAGGCTAAAAATCATTAAGAGAACATGGGCATATTCGGGCTTGTGTTTCAGAAGAGAATATTTGTATGCTGTGGTGCTAGACCGTAAGGACAAATTAAAAACATATTTAAAACCTTTTAAAATTCATGTCATTTAGGACCACTTGCTTAAGTGAAACTTTCTTGTTTCTCCTCCTCCTCCTACCTCTTGTTCTTGCTCCTCCTCTTCTTCCTCCTCCTCTTCCTCCTCTTCCTCCTCCTCCACTTCCTCCCTCTTGTTTATTGTGCCAGTCCCAGGGCTTGAATTAGGACCTGGTCCTTATCCTTGAGCTTTTTTTGCTCAAGACTGGCACTCTTCTACTTGAGCCACAACTCCAATTTTGGCTTTTATTTTGATAGCTTATTGGACAGAAGTATTTCATATTTCTTTCCCAGGAACTGCAATTTTCAGATCTCAGCCTCCTGAGTAGCTAGAATTACAGACATGAACCACTGATGCCCAGCTGAATCTCTTTTCCTATATGACCTAAAAAATAGAAAAAACTACATTTTCTATAGGATTACATAGGAGATAACACTTGACACCATTACTGGGGTTCTCAGACTTTTGAAACTCAATCTACTTTTCTCCATTCTATAAATCAGTACAGTAGGTTTCAAAGAATTAAATTCTCCCCCAGAAACAAATCTCTCACAATAATAAATGACACGTTTTCAGGGGCTCAATTGTACAGTATATCCGTAACATGAATCACCCTTGAGTTCAATCCCCAGCACCAAAAGCAAGCCTTTAAGTTATCTTGAAATTATGGCTTCTGATTTGACCATACATCCAGTGAAAAATTACATGCACAATACTTGAACGTCCCACACTTATAAAGAAGTGGTAGCAAATTTCTTCTTATGGGTGATGTGAGGAGTTGTTTCATTTAACTAATTGTAGAAGTCATCATAGGCACTCTGTTGAGAAATCTTGATGTTACAGTTACATTGAAAATAGACAAGGTGTGAGGATAGTTATGTGAAGTCACTGTGGGGAAAGAACAAGGAGACAGAGTTAAATAATAACAGAGAGCTGGGGGTGGGGGGGCGGGGAGAAGACAGAAACAAGAGTATACCAGTTTGAGAGTGGGGAAAGAAAGCTGGGCAGTTAAAATTCTTCTCTAGACCAAGTAGTATACAAGGGCAAGTACTTTGAATACCTTGCTAGTGCACAGGATGCACTTAGCAGGTGTTTGTTAGAATAAAGTTTGGAAACCAAATGTACTGGTTATAGAAATTTGAGAGATGAGGAAGATAGATTCAAGGAAAGCAATACCAAGGACTTCTTGGAGTTTGTAAACAATTGACAAAGAAGAAATGCAAAACAAAAATGAAATCAAAGTTGAGGCCAGGTGCTGGTTTCTCATGCTGTAATCCTAGCTATTCAGGAGGCTGATCTGAGGATGGCGGTTCAAAGCCAGCCTGGGGCAGGAATGGCCGTGAGACTCTGATCTCCATTAAATCACCAGGAAACCGGAAGTGGTGCTGTGGCTCAAGTAGTAGAGCACTTACCTTGAGCTGATAGAGCTGAGGGACCATGTCTAGGCCCAGAGTTCAAGACCCATGACCCACACAAAAAAAAAATCAAAGCTGAAAATCATTATTTTCCAATTTTTAACTTAAAATAATCAAATCATAATCTACTAGTTACCTTTTAAAACCATTAAAATTATTATACCTGTAGCTCCCACCTTATAAAATTTTAATGTAAGCAATGAGATATTATTAGATTTTTACTAAGTAATCATTTATAAGTACAGAAGGAAAAAAGCTACATATTGCTAGAAAACTGATTAAATAAATTCTGATGAGTCCATACAAATGGGGTCATATGCATCCATTAAGGGAAAATAATACAGGTGTTTTGTAAGAATTGGTGTGGTGGAAACTTTGCTCCATTTTCTAGGGAGAAAACCAAGAGCAGAACAATATATGTAAATTGTGTGGGAAATACATTCTTACATGCTTGAAATAAATAGGCTACCTCTGGAATAATTGGATATTTTTTTAAAGATTTAGTAAATGACACTGTGTCCTGGGGAGAAATATTTTGGGTTAAGCAGCAAGAAAGAGGAAGAAGGGAAACTTAATTTCAAGTGTTTACAGTTTTTGCATCTTTAGCAATAGGTTCTGTCTTCTATGTCATCAATCCAGAAAACAAAAATTAACAAAATCCAGCAAGCCATTTTTTCCATTTCATATGATGTCTAATTCACTTTTACTTCATGAAAGTGACTGTTAATGAACAATGTTTAATTTCTGAAACTCAAACAACTTGTACAAACAGTGGCATATTTACTGAAATAATCCTTCCTTGTTTGTCTTTCTGCCTGTAACATGTGTAATTTTTTTCTATCGCCACGTCTGGGAAAAGCAAAGTTTGCCAACTCCTCTCCTACCTTGACTAAGAATGGACTGTCTAGTTCATTTCTCACATTGTACAGCTGATCTCTACCACTGTACCTTACTATTTATTTACCTGTTTGTACTCAGCACAAAACTTCCTAGCATCATGAGGGACTTTGTATGTCTTATTCATATTCATTCTGGTTCTTACTATAGTTCTAGCATAGTAATGGACTCTTTAAATATTTATTATTGTTAAGTAAGATGAATGACTAGATTATACTCACAGACTATTTAAGAGTTTGGTAAGCAAGTTGCTACCTCCCACCCCTGACAATGGCCTTAACCACCAGCAGAGCATGCTCAGTAGATAACAAGCAATGGTTTATTGCATTTTATTTAAATTGCCTTGAAGGTAAAGAGTTAAATAACTCCTAGAATACAAAGCAGAACAACTGACTGTTCAAATGGGAGCTTAAGGATACATTTGCAATCTCAACATTAAAATAATTTAAAGTTGTATAAAGTAAAAAAAAATATCAAGGAGGTTTATGCCAAACAAAAAACTAGTAAGCCTAAATAAATCTTTGAGAAAATAGCACATTACGCCATGTATCAACAGCTCATGCCTCTATCCTAGCTAAGCAAGAAGCTTAGATCTGAGATCAGGGTTCAGAACCAGATCTAATGGAAAAGTTCATGACTCTTATTTCCCATTAACTTGCAAAAGCTGTAAGTGGAGAGCTGAGCAAACAAGTCAAGAAAGAGCATGAGGGGAAAAAAAGAAAAACAAAAAAGGAAGAGCATGAGGCCCTCAGTTCAAGCACCCAACTGCTAGGGGAAGAAAAAAAGAAGACAAAGGAAAAGAAAGAGAGAAAGAAACTGTATATCAAGTAAATATGGAAAGAAGGCAAAGAAAACAACAATTGTATTAAGAGAGAGTTAGAAGCACAAGATCCAAAGGCAAGCATTTTTCTTAGAGATGAAAGCCATTATCATTCATTATTTTTCAGATCCCAGTTAATTTGGAATAAAATCTAAAAAGAATTGCACACACACACACACACACACACACACACACATTGAGCTATGTGTAGTATTCTAAATCAAATTGGAATACCAGATAGATTACACAAATGATGAAACATAGGTTGCAAAACATAATCACATGGGAGGCGGGGGGGGGGGGGGGGG